TGACAACTTGAGTTTCGTGAAGGGTATCTTCCAACACCTGAATGGTCGCCAGAAGTGTCTCTTCCAGTTCCTTTAGAATTGGATCTTCCTCATAATCTTCTTGCTCTTCTTCTTCATAAACATCAACATCGTACAGCAGCGTTTCGTTCAGAGTCTCAGGAATGCTGGTACTAGGTTCCTCATCATCACCATCATCTTCAGATGATTCAGCCTTGTTATAATTAGTAGTAGTACTAGCATCGTCTAGAGTCGTCAATAAATCACTCATTTGTTCCGACATGGCTTGCATCATGTCTTCGTCGTTCAAGCCAACTAAGGATGATTCGTCACCAAGTTCGACATGACGACGAAGAACATTATTCTGTTCTTGCAATGATGATGTTAATGAGGAGGCATCATCATCGTCGTCATTGAATTGCGTCAAGGATGATTGCTTCAGTTCGGATGCGCGCAATGGCGGCTGCTGGAGGGTCCGAGGAACAGATCTTCTAGCCTGCGGCATTCCGATGAAACCAAAGGCATCGACCGCTGAAGATACGACGATTGCCGACAGAATGGATATTTGAAATATGACAGACATTGACGCTGAAGCTTGGCGTTGCTGCCTTTGGCGTTTCATGGTGGTAATTGTCATCTTGCTTTGTTTAATGTATTGTTCAGTGCTGGTGATGGTGATGCTTGTGTAACAATCGGCAAAGTGTGATGGATGCCGCCTTCAATGTGGATGATGGTTGGTTTGATTTGTATGTGGGAAAAGGATCTGAAAGCTATTATTTTCGGCCGAAAGCTTCCCCCGTCCAGCATGGCACCAATCAGATGGTTTCTCCAAAATTTGGATTCCATTCTTCATTTGTGGAAATTCTGTACAAAACCTACCATAGAGTTTGAATTTGACGCCTGGCAGCTTGCGGACTGCTATCTCCGGATCGTCATGGAAGAACAAACAGACAAACAGAGACCTTGCTTCAACTTGGAACGATTTCATCAGATTCTCTTGTTCGTTTCCTTTTTTGGCTCGGTCCAAAGAATCTTAGTCAATTTGGATCCTGGTGGCAGATGCTCTAATGCATTATCTTCTTTGTCCCATTACGCCTAACGGAAGGAGTGTAGATATACTGTAATGGTCTTAGGGTTGGGTTTTCATCTGATTTGCTCATGAGGTTACTACATAATGATCTATTATTATAGTATCTATCTTCTTTTACTGTTTCATTCTATG